AATTATCTAATTTGTGAAGAACAAAGCTATAATATTGAAGAGCTTACTCAAATGGTTGAAAATGGAATTCCTCAATTGAATGCAGATCAGAAAGTTGCATTTGAAAAAGTCATAACTTCAGTAGAAAATCAAACCCCTGCTGTATTTTTTATTGATGGTCCAGGTGGAACAGGAAAAACTTTTTTATATAAGTAAGTAGTTATATTATTTTTTTTTTATTATTTTTTTTGAATTTGTTATTTTACCATATATTTCATTATCTGTATATAGTGTTCTACTTGCAAAGATTTGTTTAGATGGGCATATTGCTCTAGCAATAGCTTCTTCAGGTATTGCTGCACTTCTTTTACCAGGTGGCCGAACTGCCCACTCCCGATTTAGAATACCTATTAATTTAAATGAAGATTCTACATGTTCCATCTCTCATGACTCTGATACAGCCTTACTATTGCAAAGAACAAGTCTTATTGTATGGGATGAAGCTCCAATGATGCATAGATATGCATTTGAAGCTGTAGATTGCACTTTAAAAGATCTCATGAAAGCTGTTGATCCTGCATTGGAAGGAAAACCATTTGGAGGTAAAGTAATAGTATTTGGAGGAGATTTTTGACAAATTCTTCCTGTGGTTGTAAAAGGTGGCCGAGAAGAGATTGTAGGATCCTGTTTGTGTAGATCCCCTTTGTGGAAACATGTTGAAGTTATGAAACTTAAAATTAATATGCGTCTTCGTTGTACTACTTCTGATCTTATTGAGCAAGGTGAATTTGCTAGATGGCTCCTTAAAGTTGGTGAAGGTCATATTCCTGCTGTTGGAGCTGAGAAAGACATTATTCAGCTTCCTGATGACATTTTTTTATCATCTGAAGAATTAACGGATTTAACTCAGTTTGTATATTCTGGATTTTTATTGCACACTAATTCACAATATTTAGTTGAGCGTGCAATTCTTGCCCCTAAAAATGATCAGGTTAATGCTATTAATGATATAATTATGACTCAATTTCCAGGAGATGCTGTTGAGTATCTTAGTGCAGATATGGTTGAAGAACAGGCTGATGCAGAACATTTGTATCCTGTTGAATTTCTTAACTCTCTAACTATTGGAGGCCTTCCACCTCATAGGCTCATATTAAAACCTGGTGCACCAATTATTTTATTATGCAATATTTCTCCTTCTGATGGACTTTGTAATGGAACCAGATTAGTTTGCTGATTTTTTAATAGACATGTTATTGAAGCTGAAATTATTACTGGAAAACATTCTGGAAATCGTGTTTTTCTTCCTCGCATTACAATGGCACCTTCAAATACAGATCTACCTTTTATTTTCAAACATCATCAATTCCCTGTGCAGGCTGCCTTTGCAATGACTATCAATAAGTCTCAAGGACAAACATTAAATTTGGTTGGTTTATATCTTCCAACACCAGTA